TGGCAGACAGGAGGGTGCGAGTTCGTGCGACGCTCGTGCATATACTGGACCAAGGGGGTTGCATCACCTGTACACGTGTCAAGCGAGGGGGTGACAACACCCAGGCACCTGAGGCACGGGAGAGGGAGGCACTGCCAGGATCCTACGTCACCGCAGGGTGCTATATAAGCAGCCAAGATCCAACGGTAAAATCAGTCAGTCTTCGGACGGCCACGAACGAACGAACAAACGAACGAACGAACGAACGAACGAACGAACGAACGAACGAACGAACGAACGATCACGCTCGAGAGAGCGCACACACATCATCGGTGACAACACCCAGGCACCTGAGGCACGGGAGAGGGAGGCACTGCCAGGATTCTACGTCACCGCAGGGTCCTATATATAAGCAGCCAAGATCCAACGGTAAAATCAGTCAGTCTTCGGACAGCCACGAACGAACAAACGAATAAACAAACAAACAAACGAACGAACGAACGAACGAACGAACGAACAAACGAACGAACGATCACGCGCGCGCTCGAGAGAGCGCACACACACCATCGGAGGGAGAGCCTACCCCGGACAGGGAGACACACTGCCAACCCACGAACTCGCGCCGAGCCGCGGAGCACACGACGGGGAGAGACAGAGACGGCTACAATATTAACCGTAGAATAGCCAAGAGTTAAGTTAAACGTGTAATCACCTAACGAGGTAACGTAAACGTGACATGAGTAAATATATATATATATATATATCTACGCTATATTTGAGATACGTGCAGTGAACGTTATTCATGTTATTCGTAAACGATGAATAAAACCATTCGTTGTATAAAGACTATCTAAGGACTTAATTTCACTCTGGGTTTTTTTATTGCTACTGCATCACCGTCCAGCGAAAAATGATCCCGACACGAATAAATTACACGTGCTAACCGCAGCACATGTGAAAGTCCAGTGTGGTCACCCCTAGGGCCACTACAAGAGTATGCATTTTATATGACAGTTTCACTATGACAACTGTCACTGGCAGTGGCAGCACGGTCAGTTATAACTGGTGGGCATATGTTTCCATGAACCAGACTGATCGCGTGACGTCAGTGTACGTCACGCACGAACTCGGCTCACTGATCTCTATAATATAATTATATTATAGAGATCAGTGATAGAGATAGATATAATATGATTATATTATAGAGATCAGTGACTCGGCTATCTCCGATGTTGAATGCATGTATGCATACGTCGGATATATGTTTCCATGAACCTGACTGATCGCGTGATGTCAGTGTAGGTCAGTGTGACGTCATACCACCACCGTCCCATAGAAATAATATAGATAACCATATTATTATATTATCTATATTATATATTAGTTATATATTAGTTTTATTAATTATTATATTAGTTATTATATTATGGTTATCTATATTATTTCTATGGTCCATCCAGACCGTGTGACACCATAGATAGTGTTTGGGATACTATAGACAGTATATAAGTCGATCCGAGTCAATTTGTAGTTAGTGTTAGGGTTCGGGTTAGGTTTAGGGTTAGGGTTAGTGTTAGGGTTTTTGCATCATTCTTTGATATACGGAAAGTCTGATGCATGCGCAACCACCGGAGATACATGCATTCAACATCGGAGATACCCGAGTTCGTGCGTGACGTACACTAACGTCACGCGATCAGTCTGGTTCATAGTAACATATGCCCACCATGTGCCAACATATGTGTTGTATATATCTATGATGTGAACGAGTGCTAACTTTCACCATAGATATCTATGCTTTCACGGTGTGCTAACCTTCCTATAATGGGGTAGTTTTTAGCAGAACGCGAATTTAATCTTTTTTTTTTAATGAATGAGTGTTTATTTTGGGATGTTTAAAATGTTTTTGCCACCACAAATAGATTATGGACACAAAAATTTATCAGCCACCACAAACACAACATTTTTTTTGCATCATTCTTTGATATACGGAAAGTCTGATGCATGCGCAACCACCGGAGATACATGCATTCAACATCGGAGATACCCGAGTTCGTGCGTGACGTACACTAACGTCACGCGATCAGTCTGGTTCATAGTAACATATGCCCACCATGTGCCAACATATATCTATGATGTGAACGAGTGCTAACTTTCACCATAGATATCTATGCTTTCACGGTGTGCTAACCTTCCTCTGCCTTCCTATAATGGGGTAGTTTTTAGCAGAACGCGAATTTAATCTTTTTTTTTTAATAAATGAGTGTTTATTTTGGGATGTTTAAAATGTTTTTGCCACCACAAATAGATTATGGACACAAAAACTTATCAGCCACCACAAACAGTTTATGGGCCAAACATTTCTTAGTCGATCACCACCAACAAATTGCGGACGCAAAATTGCGTAGCTGCCACCAAAAGTATGGGACAAAATATTAATAGATATTAGCAATCGATGCAGGAAACTCAGATCATTATCAAAGGTCATCTGCTTTTATAGCCTCTTCAACTAGTGTAACGAGATTCTAGTTTACTTGTAAGTTGTATGATGTATCTCATGTGAGTCCACATTTTGGTTTAAACCGACCAGGCTCTCCGACTGTTAGTGTGACACGTAGTGTTAACGAGATGGGAAGTTGTGGCTAATTTTGGTTGTGCTTGGTTAACATTCCGGTATCATTTAGGCCATATGTAAAATTCTGTAACTGTTTTGCTAAAAGATTTTTGTTAATCTTATTAAAATCATATATACTGTACATTATGTGCATACATGTTCATACATTATTACATTATTTTTCTATGATAACTGCTACCATTTCGTATTTTACTGCCAGTCATCATCACTAGAAAACAACCAATGAAAGCTCCGTTTACAATATGGGCAGTCAAGATGGAGGTTAATCGAGATGAGAGTGAAAGATGCATTTTATTGGCAAAAAGGTTCATAAGCGAGGGCAATACATCAAAAGCAGAGCGGTTTCTACAGAAAGCAGAAAAGCTTTTTCCATCACAACAAGCGAAAGGTATCGTAATAAGCAACCGTTTAGTGGCGTAAAGGTTATTGTAGTCTGGATTTCCCTTCGAAATAGTGTCGAGATCAGTGACTGTCACTGTACAACTACAACTGTAAAAAGACTTGTAAACAGTTAAATACCTAAACGAGTGGGTCATAAATTCAGCTATTAAAAATTTCATCTGTAAACTAATCGTTTTATTTCTATGGTATGAAGTATTATTTATGACAAAAATATATATTCAACGCATTACCTCAATACCTGATAAAAATACAAGCAAATTCAAGAAAACGAAATGATACATTCAGTGATTCACTACACTCCTCACGGTTCAAGGATAGAGGGACAGAGAACATGGGTCCCAATAAAACCAATGTGCCTAACGCTAACCCTAATCCTAACCCTAACCCTAACCCTAACCCTAACCTATTAGTATTATATTGATATAATATTATATTTATATTGATGTAAATGACATTGGTTTTATTGGGACCCATGATACCTTTGACCTTTGACCCCCAGCTTCGACATCCTAACTCGTTTTGACGATCCCCCCCAACGTCCCGAATATGCGCGGTTAAGATTTGTGCCCAACTCTTGACGGACGCACGGACGGACGATCATGCGATTCTACAAGCTGCATCTGACTATGTCAGATGAGCTAATAAATATGAAATCTATTTACTACCAATCCAAAGTCTTAATGTTTCTATACTCTCTGTCTCTGTTTCTATATATATAAGTGTCAGTGTGCAGCACTGCAGCGGCAGCAATGGCGCTTGGCGGCAGCCAGTGTTTGTTGTAGATGAGCATTTGGATGGCATTTACAGGAAATTGTCGGCAATAATAGGTAAAAGAGAGTATAGAAACATTAAGACTTTGGATTGGTAGTAAATAGATTTCGTATATTTATTTAGCATTATATTTTATTGAAACGCTTCAACTGCCTGTGGTACTAGTAGTGGTAGTGAGTAGGGCCCCAAAGAGGTGTAAAAGAAGGGGG